GTGCCACCATGCCCAGCTGATTTTTTGTATTTTTAGTAGAGACGGGGTTTCACCATGTTGACCAGGATGGTCTCGATCTCTTGACCTCGTGATCCACCCGCCTCGACCTCCCAAATTACTGGGATTACAGGCGTGAGCCACCGCGCCCGGCCATTGTAATTTTTTTAAAGAAGTAATTAGCACCTCAACATTTATTGTTTTGAAGACTGACTTCTGTAACAGTAAGAAATAATCATGAAAATTCAAGTTTGACATCAAAGTACACCAGCTTTCTGTTTCAGAGCGAAATAGATACCTTTTATGACTGGCGGCATGTTAATGCCCCATTTATTGTTTTGCTTTGATTGGACATTTTACATAACTTGCAAATTTTAACAGTTACCAACTATCTGAAAATGAAAATATTGGCCAGGCGCTGTGGCTCATGCCTGTAATCCCAGCACTTTGGGAGGCTGAGGTGGGCGGATCACTTGCGGTCAGGAGTTTGAGACCAGCCTGGCCAACATGGTGAAACCCCATCTCTGCTGAAAAAATTCAAAAATTAGCTGAGCGTGGTGGCGTGCGCCTGTAATTCCAGCTACTCAGGAGGCTGAGGCAGCAGAATCGCTTGCACCTCGGAGGTGGAGGTTGCAGTGAGCAGAGATAGAGCCATTGCACTCCAGCCTGGGCAACAGAGTGAGACTCTGTCTCCAAAAAAAAAAAGTACACTTATTAGCATGGCCTTATTATTTTGCAAATTATTTAAGCCCAGACTTTTAAAGTGTACTTGTGTACTTTGCTCATGTACATTATTTATATTTTCTTTAATATACATATAGATTAAAAAAACTGTTCAAGCACAGTGGCTCACGCCTGTAATCCCAGCACTTTGGGAGGCTGAGGCGGGAGGATCACTTGAGGCCAGGAGTTTGAGACCAGCCTGGGCAACATAGACCCATCCCCCTATCCATTTTCAGGAAAACTATTTTAAAATCTAAAGTGGGTTAAGTAAAACCAAATTAACTATTTGAATTGGAAAACATCTCATGTATCTTATTTCCAAGCCAGTGTCTTGATTCTGGGATTTTCAGTGTCATTTGTTTGCCGAATTCGCAGACACCGCAAGGGGGAGCCATGGCTCCAACAGCAGAGGCAATAAACCGCCTAGCTTTGGGGATGAGAAATTCCGGCGACGGTGTTGGGCGGCCCCACCATTTTCGCCTGCAGAGCCAGTCGTGCGCCGCGAGGGGGCGGCATCGGAGAGACCGCCGCGTCTCCGGAGCAGGCCTCGGGGCGCGGCCGCCCGCAGTACCAGCCCCAGGGGACAAGCGCTGGCTGCGTCCCCATCCTCCCCGGAAGCGGTCTCATGATACCCATTTCGCAGATGGGCAAATGCAAAGGCGGAACCGGGATTTGAGCCTAGGTCTCTTTCTTTCTGCAGGCTGAAGAAATAAATGTCTCTGCTTGCTCTGTGTGTGTTGGGGGCAACGGGGACTTTTCTGCAACCAAGCCCAGTGTGCCCTCTCTCATCTTCTAGCACGTTCTTTTCCCGCTTGTACTCATCGCAGACTCCCCTCACACACCTATCCTGGGTGCCATCCTTCCGCCTTAGCCCACCGCCTATGTAATCAGCCTCCTAAGCACCCCTTCCACCTGTCCCCTCATCTCCCCACTGCTCTGCCTCGGTCCAGCCCTGGGGCCGGCAGGGGTCCCTGCCTGGACCTCCCCATGGCCTCCCAGCCTCTCAGAGGAGCAGCCACCTGTCCAAGGCCACACAGCAGAAGAGGCACTTTTGGGATTCAAGACCCATCTATGGGTCCAAAGTGAATTTTTTTTTTCTTTGAGAAAGGGCCTGGCTCTGTCACTCAAGCTGGAGTGCAATGGCATGACCTCGGCTCACTGCAACCTCTGTTGTCCAGGTTCAAGCGATCCTCCCACCTCAGCCTCCCGAGTAGCTAGGACCACAGGCATGAGCCACCACGACAGGATAATTTTTTTTGTATTTTTTGTAGAACCAGGGTTTCACCATGTTACTCAGTCTGGTCTCAAACTACTGAGTTCAAGCGATCCACCCACCTCAGTTTACCAAAGTGCTGGGATTACAGGCCTGAGCCACCACACCCCACCCTGATTTGGATCTTGCTCCTGCTCCCAGGATGACCCATGTCCTGGCAAGAGAGGTAGCAGGTGGTGCTCACACCCCTCCACCCCCAACCCCTCCACCACTACAGGAGCCTGGGACCCAGAGGCCATGGGTCCTGCACAATCTGGAATTTCAGGTCTATAAATCATGGGGGTGGCAGGGAGCCCATCAAAGCTGTTCACCCATTCTGGTCTGCCGGCTCGGCCTCTTGTCCACCCCCCACACCACACACACACCCTCCTTCCTTCCTGGGAGACCGGCCCAAGGAGGGGCCTGGGCATATATATGGAGCCACAGTGGGTGGGGCTGGCCAGAGAGGCTCCAGGGACAGAAGGTGAGGAGGGGGCTCTGGGAATCTGGGTGCAGTATGGGGGGGTCTGAGGCTCAGGAGCGGCAGTGCCCGGTTCGGGCCAGTGACTGCCCCACCGGAGCCCAGGTGTCCTCTTCTGCAAAATGCCAGAACTGTGGGCACAGCGGTACCAGCCTGGGCCCTGCAGAGAGCCGGAGCAAGCCCTCACAGCTGGGGAGGCTCGGAGCTGGGGGTCTGGCTAGTCCTTTATACTCCTGGTCTCATCCTGCTCCTATGTCCCGGGCAGAATGATGGCGTCTGCAGCGGCAGCAGAGGCCGAGAAGGGTTCTCCAGTTGTGGTGGGCCTGCTCGTCGTGGGCAACATCATTATTCTGGTGAGACTCGCCCTGGTGCTGGGAGCGGAGTGGGTGTGTGGTGGGGAGGGGGCAGTCCTGAGCTCAGGGTGGGGGACGAGGGTCCAGAACTGCCTTGAGGGCAGACTCAGCCGTCAGCGCAGCGTGGATCTACACCCCAGCTCTGCCTCTCCCCAGCTCTATGACCTTAGCAAGTGACTGTCCCTCTCTGTGCCTTCTTTCCTCATCTGTAGATTATGTCATTGTGTGGGGGCTGTTGACATGTGGATTGATCCATGCGTGGCCCTCAGCTCAGGGAAAGTGCCCAACCAATGCTGGCTATCACCGTCAGCATCACTGTGGACATAATGCAACCCCCTGGTGCATAGGAGACCACAAGAGGGAAAGATGACAGCGTCTTTCTTTCAATTAACGTTGGGTTTTGGTTTTGTGCTTGTTTTGTTTTCGTTTTTTTT